GGTGGCCGGGCGAGCCGTTAGCCAAGGCCCCGCGCCGGGAGGGGCGAGATTAGTGGAGGGGAGCACAGGTCTGTGAGATGATGCAAAGAACGCTGGGGGTGCGGCAGGAGGGCTCGGGGCAGCAGATACCCGCTGGGGGGCTGCAACTGTGTCTCCTTCTCCAACGGTGAGTGCTGAGACGCTGGGACGGGGCTCGAGGCACAGGCCCGGTCACCCGGTCCCCACGGCAGCTTGCACTGCGGCCAGCAAAGCCTTGCACCTCCCACGACGCTGAGAGGGCCCCAGGAAGGACACGCAGCTGGTTTGAACTTCACTGAACCGCCCCCAAAGCCTGGCCCAAGAGCGGCCGCAGCAGGCAGTGGGCCCGTGCTCCCTTCCAGACCCTCTCCCCACTGTGGGAGCCGCAGCCTGTGCCCCCACGGAGCCCATGGCGAGCCCCGCCACGGGGCCAGAGCCAGCAGGAGCTGCACGGGGCAGAAGGACCAAAGCCCCGAGTCTCTCCGCTCCCTCCCCACCTGGGACACGGGGCCGACCTGCTCTGCTTCTCCCGGGCAGAGGGGAGCCAGGTGCCCCCGCACGCGTTATCTCAACGCCTGCTTTCACCGACAGAGAGGAGAGCTGAAGGCCGAGGAGAACTTAAAACGGCAGCACCAAGAAGGGAACAGCACGCAACAACGCTTCAGGAAGGAAGAGAACGGTGTCTGGTGGGCTCCGGGACCGAGCTCTGGTTGTCTTCAGGGGAGGAGGGGAGATGTCAAAGCTAGGCTCTCTGCAGAGATCTTGCTTTTCTGCTGGCTGGTATCTGCCAGAGAAATTTGTAGCCTTTCCCTCCATGAGCACGTCAATTCTTTGCCAAAAATGTCTGTGACCCAGGAACGCTGCAGATGGCAGACAGAGCCACGCGTCTCAGCAGAACGAGGGCTGTGGCGTTCCCAACATTCAGAATAGACTTCGGCCTCTTTTTTTTTTTTTTTTTTTTTTTTTTTTTTTTTTTTTTTTTTTTTTTTTAAATTTAAAAATCTCTTCCTTTGCGATTCCCCATGGCTGGCATTACAGGATTTCGTACTTGTCCACCAGGAAGGTGGTTTCAGTGGAAAACCTTACAGGGCTGTTCCTGTCTACCTGGGTCACTTTGGTAACCTGTGGAGACAACAGGCAGAGTCAGCTCAGCCCCCGCCGCCCACCCCGGCTCAGTGCCGCTCTCTTCCTGACATGGGCTACCATGGGGACAGGAGCAGCCCAGTGCTTTCGAATCCCCCATCAGCCCCAAAAGAACTGTCTTTGTCCCCAGGAAACTTGAAGATGGGGGAATGGTTTTCCACGGTGTCTCTGCTGAAAGCGACTGGCGAGGAGTTAAGCGCCTGCCACCAGCTGCAGTTCAGCAGGGACAGACACGCAGCCGCACACAAGAGGTGTTTCGGCTGTGGAGTCTGATGGGCTCGAGCAAAGTCTGAGGAGGATCAGCGAATTACTCAGAGGCATGAAGGCACAACGGAAACCGCAGCTGAACCCAGCTCACACAGGGGCAACTTAACATGGATGCTAAGAGGGACAGCAGAGCCCACAGGCCACGGCTCGAACAGTCGTGGCCAGACTGAGACAGCCGGGAGAGGCGAGAGCGACACGACGCCTGCAGAGCCCCAGGGGTGACTGTACCTGTATGTTGCAGTAATTCTTTTTCGAGACGAAGGAGACTTGCACGGGGAAGAAGTCGTTGGGCTGCCCGGCTATGCTGAACTCCAGGCTGCCACTCTTGTTTTTGGCATCGATCACTGGCAGGCACCACTCAAGGAGATTTCTCCGGCTGTCATGGCGATACTCACCATCAATCTCCCCGATCACAGGGGCACCGACACCAGACCTAGAGCAATGAGAACTCAGTCTAGCTGACCCGCACAGAGCCAAGAACACACTGGTGGAGCCCGTCGGCTCAGCCAGACCCACAGCCCGAGAGGGGAGGAACCAATGGGATCCTTCACAGGGCAAAGGGCGTTACTTACGGCAAGGGGATGGTGATGATCACGTCATTCAGCTCTAGGCTCTCCTCTTGCAACTCGTATTCGATGTTGACGTCACAACTGTTCCCACTTTCTGACGGCCAGCAGTTAACTGAGGGCACAGAAACAGTACGCTGAACCGCGCAGGCTTTCCAAAGATGCCGCCTTTCCAAAAGCACGGCAAAGTCATCCCTGCGAAATTCTGACTTTAAGAAAAGCTTCTGTGTTCCTCCAAAAGGGCTATGGAAAACACACACTGCTGAGAGCAGGTACTACCCAACGGAAGATGCGCAGCATCTCCTCCTGAGGCGCCACGCTCCGCAGGCAGCCTGGCTCCAAGCTGTCACCCTGCGACACACCGCGGGCTCTCCCGCCCGGCGCAGGCTCGCACTCACTCGTCAGTGGAATGAAGGACTCTTCCGTGGTCTGCAACCTCCACTTCAGCACGCCCACGTCATTGTTAATAGGGAATGACTTCTCTGGGTTCTTCAAACCGATCTGCGACTCTGCAGTGAAGAGCTTCTTGTCCACATTTGGGTGAGTCTGAAAGGGGAACACAGGTGCAGCTGTAACTCTAAGCCTAAGAAGAGAGCTGGACGTAGGTAACGTGGGTTTGGCTAAGACAGGCCCACACGCCCCACAGTATTTCCCTTGCCAAAGTATGCTTCAGTTTTGCTCTGTGCTCAGAAGCCCAGCTGGAGCATGTCTGCCTATCAACCCGGGATTCCTTCTGGAAGATGCTGTTCTGCTATGAGGAATCTACACCACCACCCCCCGCTGCAGCCGAGACTCCAGCAAGGCTTGTCCTGGGCTGGCACCTACACAACGACTTGACCACCTCCTAAGAATCTTGAAGACCATCCTGATGAGCCACGATGGACACTTCTCTTGAAGAAAAAACAACCTAATGCTGCTGGAAGAACACCCTGAAACCGCAGAACTACTACTTCCCTTAGCAGCCTTTACACATATATGTCAGCAGTCAGCCTCAGTTTAAACATTCTCTCCTCACAACACCAAGAGTAAGCAGGTTTTTAAAAGCAGAGGACATCTGAGTGTCAGCACTGGGTTTGATCTCATCTTCCACCTGAAGCAGCCCAGGAGGGAACATCATTAGGAACTTACTCCTGAGACACACATAAGGAACCTACTACTGCAGCAGCAGACCTGCAGCCAGCTACATACAGACAAGCTCTTGGGGAGGAGGAGGAGGGAGTAAAAGTCTGTTGAAGCAGTGTGATCTCCCAGGGATCAGTAAGGTCACAGGTACCGAGAGGGAGAAAGGGGAGGATGTATCTCCTCAGAATCTTCTGAGCTGCTATCACTGCCCACCACCCAGGCTCCAGCAATCCCCTCAGATACAGCAGCAACAGGACACAAGCAATCCCAAAGAGAAACAGCTTTTGAGACAACAAATTAATTCCTGACTGGCACGGTAAGTTCCCCCAACGCCCCCACCCCACAGCCAAAGCTTGCAGCGCATAAAAGCGCCGAGCGCCGCAGCAGGTCCAGGTGAGCCTGTTGGCACGCCAGTGTGCGTTCCTGGACAGATAAGGCTGCAAGGGCAGGAAGGTGAGTGCACGAACCTGCACTTCTCAAATGAACTTCAACCCTCAGAGCAGGAGCTGGCCCTGCCTTCATGCTGCAGTCATGTCCGTGGTGACTACTCCCATTTTGAAGGTGTTTGCCGAGACGGCTCGGACAAGAACACAGCAGCAACACTCTCAAGGTATTTCCAATACTTTGCCCCAGAGAACAGCAAAAGCGCGTTCAGCAGCACCAAACAGGCTTTACCTGTAGCTGCAACCCCCTCTTGTCTTCATTTTCTACGTGCAGGCGAATCCGTGCAAACTTTTCATCAGAAATGTGCAGCATGATCATGCCGTGCAGCTCCATGTTCTGCAACCCTCCATCACGGCCACAGGTCAGGGAAATTTTCTCCTCTATTTTCATGTGCACGCTAGATAGACAGAAAAAAGCAAGTATCTCACATCCTATGCTTGGCATCGGACAGGTGAGACGAGGGATCTGTGCTCGGCACAGACAGGCTACATGTGCTGCACAGACACTCCCCAGGAGGGCCCCAAGGGAGCAGCAGGGACGGCGCAGCAGGTGCCAACGCTGCTCCGAGGGGTTCACCCGGGGACAGGTGGCTGCACAGAGGTGAGCCTGCCACAGGTGGAAGCCCAGAGAAATGGCAACAATACAGCACCTCGACACGCTGTTCACCCCGCAGAGCAGCACGGCTCGTGGCACTACAAGGTTCTCAGTTGCTACGTGTAAACTGAACCATGAACGTCTCCACCCTGAGCTGCAGTAAGGCAAGAACTCTTGTGTCTGAGCAAAAAGCAGCAGTGATTTAAAGTGAAAAAGGCACAGAACTCCGAACCTCAGCTAAATGACAGACATACACCCCATTTTGGTTGAGGTGATTCCTAATCAAACTAGCTATCTGCTTTCTTGCTGCCGTGCTTTCCCAGATTTTTGCCCATCTTTTAAAATGAACAGGCCAAGCGAGCACACACGGCTTGAACAGCAGGAAAAAGCCTGTTGTGAACACAAGGAAGGAAGCTAGCTCATGAAGCAAGACGTGCACTGCAGAGCGTGGTACCAGGACACTGCTTTCAGACCAGGGCAGTACCCACCTCTCCATGTTAACGGGAGGAGCAAGAACTTTGGCCGCTTCCGTAGAGCGCTTCCCTATGGAAGTCATGATGTTTTCTCCTTCTGATTTCAGCTTGTCCACAAAGTTGTCCACCTCCTTCCCCTTAGCGCCAAGTTTCAAGGCTTTACTAGGACCTGAAGGCCTAAACAAAAGGTGCAAGGATCTCCAAGTTAGCTCGTGACAACAGATTCCTCCTTCCTCAGTTATCTTCAAGTGTTGGAACTTAACTACCCCAGCAATACGGCGTCTGCCTTTTTTGGGGGGAGAACACATGCAAAACTGATGACCTCACATGTAGGGTGCTAAGTTATAATTAATGTTCTGGGTATCACCCGTAGCCAGGACCTCTTTTTCTCACACAAAATGAGAATCCTGTTGCTCAAAGATTCCAGAGAGACCAGGGGATGCTACTGTGCTACCCAGCACAAATGCTCCTCTGGAATAAATGAGGGGGTCTCAAGAATACACAACATCTACCAGCCTTCAAAGCAGACACATTAAAGGCCAGGAGGCCAACACAGGGAGCTTGGTAAAGCTGAGGGGAGGCTTTACCTCTGTAAACCTCTGCCTGCACAGTAACCGAGGGGGAGGGCTGCACAGACAAATGTCCCGTGTGAGCGCGCCTTGATCTGGGCATGAGGTCACAGCCACGGCCGGCTCCGAGGAACCTGTGCGCCCTGCTGTACCCACCTGGCAGGTGCCGGTGCCACTTTGGGCTTCTCCGTTTCAATGATGGTCTCTGTGATCATCGCCGCTGTCGTGCCCCCAGACACGGCCGAGCTACCAAAGCCACCGAAACCGGGCGCCTTTTTGCCCTGTCGCTCTGCGTCCCTCCTGGCCTGCTGCAATTCCTTCGCTTTACGGCGCATCTCAGCTTTCGCTTCACGTTCCTGAGTCTGAAGCAAAAGGAAAGAAGCTGATCAAGCTTTGCAATCTCAATCTGACTCTGCACAGGAACTAAGGACATTTCTCCACAAACCCTTTGTGAAGAAAACTGAAAGCAAGATGCACATTTAGTTTACAAAAAAACAAAGTAATTTTCTGACCCCTATCAAAACAGAGTAACACCTTCGTACAAGAAAAGTGGCGTTTCCTGGACAGGGTAGCTCGCACCACACTCGCCCTCATCCCCGCTCACCTCTCGGACTGCTCGAAACACCTTTTCTTCATGCGAGTCCATCTCGGTGAAGGTCCGAATCTGTGCCAGATTTACATTCTCACGGTAGCCCAGGGCAACAATTTCATCAAAGGCAAAAATGAGGTCAAAGCAGTGTTCCGAGATCTCATTCTCCTCCAGAGCTCGACAATATTCAGGGATCTAGTTGGGGAAAAACATTTTAAGGGAGTAATCGTAGACATTCCTGTGTGAACACCTCCTCTGTACTACTTCCAGACTCCACGGCTGCGATAGACCCTCTGCCAGACCAGTGCACCACTAAGCTGCTCTTCAGAACTTTACATTATTATCCACTTGTTGATAAATGACCAGAGAAAGTTTTACCATACCAAAATACTTATACAACCTCTTAGCTTAATTGTCATGCAACTGTCACCTAAACAAACTGGGGCCAGCGAATTTGTCGAAGATCCTTTGGTTGCATGAAGACGACAGTTGTGCAAACTCGCTACTTGGAAACGCACATAAAGTAGTGCTGTACTTCTAACAATTACATGCTGTAACATCACGTTATTTTTAGAAGAAACATGGGTGTCACCTTAAGAATACAAGGAATATTTAATGCTACATTTATGATCCTCCCTTTGGTCTCACCAGCTGAACCGCAAGTGAGGATATTTTTAACACATACTTCAGAAATACCACCCAAAAAGCTGACTTCCAGGTCAGGAAGAGGCTCTGGAAAATCAAGCTGCCAGGTGGAGGCAGACAGTGCTTCAGGACCCGCTCACCAACAGGTTCCCTCGCAGCAGCCCTGTTTGAGGCCACACGCACGCAAACTCTGCATGAAGTGACAGACCCTTACCACTCTTGAGAAGAGCCGGAGTGTTTCTAGGTCCTCCAGGATGTTGCTGTTCTTGGTGGTGATCAGCACCATGTAGAGCTTCTCCATCGGCTGATAGACGTACCGCACACTCTCCGTTTCCACAAAGGTGTGCTGCTTCCCTGTGTTCATCAGCTTCGGGAAAGCCGCCAGCAGCCCCTCGATGCGGGTCCGAGTCATCTCCACGAACTGCCGGGAGACGATGGCCTTCCCCGCCTTTGTGCAGACGGCTGCTGCCAACAGCACCTGCAGAGACAGCGAGCGCTGGTTAGCTGGGCCTCCCGCACCGTGCAGCCGCGGCGAGCCCCAAGGAAGGATCACTTCCAACTACGTTTCACCTCCACGTGCACCGCGCGGTCAGCTGATCTTCCTCAAACAGGATTTTAAGTCTTTTTCCGTGAGCTGCACCAGGAACTGAACTATGCTAAGAGCAGAGCCACCTCTACATGTCTGTCTCTCCAGCCCACTCTGTTCCCGTGTCAGCTGAACGAGAGCTCTCCTGCTCCCATCAGGCAGATGTGGCGGTTCGGCCTGTTCCTACACACAGAGGTACATTACAACACCCCCCTCAACATTTTAGGGGAGGCTCTAGGTTACTGAGTTTTCTGTCAGTCTGGCCCCAGCTTACAACTACATACAGGAACACTGTAAAATGTGACATTTCTTCCCGATGCTGCATTTACAGTAAAGCCAGGTTAATAAAATATTGGCATCTATATTAATCACAGCCCACGGACAACTCTCCCGGGTATTTCAGTGATGTTACCACACCAACAATAAAAAGTACAGCAACTGCCAGCCTACATGTTTTGATTCTCTCAGACTACCAACATTTCCTCCTTGCATTTCTCTCACAGACCAGCTTCTTAATTAACTTTCCCGGGATAAGGCTGTTTCTTCACGTCAGATCTTTTAAATCCCCAACCTCTGGAATTAATGAGACACTCTCAAGCAGGACCGATTGCAGGTCCCACCTCAGCCCCAGGTTGACAGTGCTCTCTGCGTGCGCCCCGGTAGGAGTGCCAGGCTCCTTGGGTCTGCCCTGCGGCTTGACAACTCGGGGACAAGCACACCTGAAGTACTTACAGGTCAGAAATAAGCTCCCTCCCCGTAAACACTCCCCAGAAGTCCTCAGACCACGGTGCGAGGGAACCGGCGAGCACCCGGGATCCCGGCTGCGCCCTGAGCGCACGGCTCGACTCTTTACCGGCACGCCGGGCCAGCCTCTGCGGGCCGAGCCCGCCGTCAGCGGCGCCGGGGATGGGCAGCGAGGAGCGGGACTGGCTCCGCGAGATAAAGATCTCACAGCACCGACACGGGAGCAGCGAGCCATCCCCTGCGCCCGGCTGCTGTCTCTTATA